CCGATTCAGGTTACGGGAAGTTAAGTCCAAAGACCAGCAAGGTTTCTATAATTAATTAGATCAAGAGATTTGAAATATTGTGATTATTATTTATATAATCATTACCAACATTAACATCTATAAGTCACCGCTATGAGAAACTGGTGTCGGTCTCATAATTAATATTTTAAATTTATGTGAATAACTAAAATGCAAATTAAAAATTTACAGATTAACTAAATGATAGGATGAATAATAAACAAACGGTAAACAAATCGAAAACAAAATATAATTAAACTTCCTACCTCGCAGTCTTTCCCCTTTAGAAGAAGTGATTACATTATTCATTTTAAAATTAAGTCTTTACTTGTAACGTTATACTGACATCCTACACGGTTTAACTACAGATATAGTACAAGGAGAAACTACTTTCTTACAAATTCTACTATCTTTCGATTCTAGTTCAGCTTAACGAAGTTAGTTCTAAGACCAGTTAATTTATAACAATTAAATAACAAATCTTGTACATATTCTTTACCAATATTAATATCTGTACGTCACTAATAGGGGGAAACCGATGTCAGTCTCATAATTCATACAAATTAAAAATTGATGAGATTAGCTAGAAGGTGAGTTAGCGTTGAAGTGTAAATAAAAATCCAGAGGTTAGCTAAACGATAGAATGAATAAACGAACAGTAAAGAAATCCATAACAAAATAAAAGAATATGCTATCTCACACTCCTTCCGCTTTAAACAAAGAATGTGATAATATTAAATCACTGCTTATAAATTCCCAATTTTCGTATCCTTATTTTTAAGGCCGTCGTTATACTGACATCAAGAATCCCTCACAGTTAAGTACAGATACTAGTACAAATTGTCTATGTTCTTAAGTCTAAAGATTGATTTTTAATTTCCTGCTCTGGTTCACCATACAGCGAGTACTTGAGTTTGAAGACCATCTAGGTTGGGCACATTTTTCTGCAACGATATAGAACGATTAGCATTTTCTGGTATATAAATAATTTTCGAGAAAATATTTTTCAATTTAGAGAAGTAAAATTATTCTACCATTGAATTGATTTTTTTTAATATAAAAAAAATGATAAATATAAGTTTAGACAGTCCATTCTATAAAAGAATATTTTAGAATAAGAAAATTTAATAAAGAACAATAAATATATTCTTAATAACAGCATTAGAAAATTAAGTTTTAATTGTGTCGGAAAGATACTAACGGTTGTAAGCTTCTCGCTGTATATTTCGATGCAATTAAACTTTGGATATTGTCTGTTTAATATTTGTAAATAGTTTTATTCGTTCTTGTACGGTTGAAGGTGATGTTGGGTATTTTGTTAGTTGTTTAAAAGAAGAGTCTTTTTGACGCCTTAAAACTAATTATATAGTTTAGATGTAGTTTATGGGTATTCACATTGCCAAACTTTGTTCTACCATGAAAGAACAATATACCATAAATATCAGGATTAATATTTCTATAAATAAAAGGAATTATAAAATACAATATTTACAAAACTACAGTGTATAATGTTTTAAATAACCAATAACATTTACTATCTCTCGTGATAATATCAATATTTCAAATAAGTTGTAACATTATTTACATACTCTTTTGCAACATTAAAATATGAAAGTTACTGATACGGGAAATTGGTGTCAGTCTCATAACTTTTAGAAGCTTTAAATGACGTAGTTAATTAGAATGCGAGGTAGCGTTTAAACGTAAAACTAAAGTTTTATAGGTTAACTAAACAGAAAGAATAAATGAACTGAAAACAAAACCATAACGAAATAAAAATAGGATTTGCTACCTCATATTCCTTCCTCTTTCGAAAAAGGTGATTACATTAATCACTGTTCATAAATTCCCAATTTTCGTATCCTTACTTTTAAGGACCTGACACCACGAATCCTGTCCAGTTTAAGTACATATACCTTACAAAGAAAATTCGTTCATGTTCTATCTTCACCTTCTCTACCTTCCGGCTCAGGTTACGGGACCTCTGAGTTCAAAGAAAAGCTAAACTGCAATAATTAACTAGTTAGATCAAGACATTTAAAATCATGTTATCATTATTTACATACTCTTTAACAATATTAACATTTACAAGTCACCATTATGGAAAACTGGTGTTAGTCCGATATTTAAAATTGATGTGAATAACTAGATCGCGAGTTAGCATTTAAATGTAAAACTAAATATTCACAGCTTAACGAAACGAGAGAATGAATAATATATGAACGGTTAACAAATCCAAAACTAAATAAATTGAATTTGCTACCTAACACTCCTTCCCCTTTAGAAAAAAATGGATTACATTAATCACTATTTAAAATTCCCAATTTTAGTATCCTTACTTTTAACGCCCTCATTATACTGACATAGTCAATCCTTAACAACTGAAATAGATATATTTGAAGGCGAAATCATTCCATTTTCTCCTATACTCGGTTTTTATCTTCTTTAGCTTCCGGCTTCAGTTCAGTTTAACGGAAGTTCATGGGTTCCAAGACCAGCTAATCTGTGATAATTAACTAAACTACTCGCATCAAGAAATCAGAATTCATGTGATAATCATGTACACACTTTCCCAACATTAATATCTGAACGTCACCCCTATGGAAAATAGACTGCAGTCTGATAATTTATATAATGTTAAAAATTGATGTGGTTAACTAGAATGTGAGGTAGCGTTTATATGTAAATTAAAAATAGACAGAATAAATAAACGATAGAAGAAATAATTCAATGGAAAACAAAAGCATAACAAAAAAAAATAATTTGCTATCTCACAATCCTTCCCTTTTCGGAAACCGAAGTGATTATATTAATTAATACTAAACTTCCTCATTATACTAACACTGAATCCTTTATAGTTTCAGAAATCTTACAAGTAAAAATAATTCATATTCTTGAATCTTGAGCTTCATCTTTTCTTTCCTGCTGTAGTTCATCTTACAGAAAGTTTGAGTTGAGATCAGCCAGATTGAGAAGACAAAAGTCATTAGGGCGTTATGTCGAAGGATGAGATGTGGATACACCAGAATTAGTTATTCATTTTGTTGGGCAAATCTCCAAGCCTTCTTGCAGCATTTAATTTTGTGAAAATGCCCAAGATAAGAATGGTGTCAAGGAATTAACTGGAGAAAAAAAAATTATATCTTTTAAATTAAAAAAAATCTAATCACAACAAGAGAGTTTGGACAGTCCAATTCAATATAAAATAAATTTGAGTAAAATTATTTACTCCAGAAGATAACGGGTGTATTCATAATAATATGATTTAGAAGTTAACTACTTTTAGTTGTGACTTAACCAACGAATACAACTATTTCAAGACGTTATACAGAAGACAAAATA